TCCTCCGTGGGTCCTGTCCTCTGTGGGTGCTGTCCTCCGCTCAGCAAGCCGGAGCACTTACCCTGCAGAAGGGGGCGTGGCTCCCTCCAGGCAGCACCATCCCCAGCACTTCCCTGTCCCTCTGTCCTGCCACCTGGCTTCTGAGTGTGCTCCAGTGAGCCGAGGGCTCCAGGCAACACCAGGAGGCCGGGTCTCCCAGGACCTTTGGACCCACAGCCGTCCTACAGGAGACTCACCACAGCCCCTCCCTCCTGGGCGCCAGCACCCATGGGAGGCGCAGGAGGACAGAAAGGCCCCTCCTGGCTTGGTTTCAAAGGACATTTCAAAGGCCTTGCTGGAGACCCCCAGGGGCCGAGGACCCACCTGGCCCTCCCAGAGGTGCTAAGGGCTTGCTTCCTAGGCTGGGTTGTCCCGAGCCAGGCCCCCAGGAGCCCCAGGCGCCCCCATGCCAAGATGCTGCTGACCCACACTGCATCTGGGGCCCCCCCACTCTGTTCCCTCGCGGGGCCTGACCGCAGCAGGGACCCCCAAGGGCCTCATTGGAACCGAGGGAAGCCTGGCTCTGCCTCTCATTGTCTCTCTGTCCATCTGTCAGTCTGGAGGATGCTGTCCCTGCCAGRCAGGGGCCTGGCTCTGCCCAGAGGGCCCAGGCTACTCCCAGGGGGTGTTCTGGCCAGATGTTGGGATCTGGGGTGTCCTTCTGGGGTGGGTCTTGTCACCTGAGCCTAGGACACCAGGCCAAGGAGGGCAGGTTTTGAGGGTGGGTGGCTCACATCTGTCATTCTTTAGCTGTACATGACGCCAGGGGACCTGGCAGGACAGTCGCAGGTCAATGCTGGTGCCCAGCGTTCAGGGAAGTGGCCTGGGGCTGGCCCAACCTGGTCTTGGGCAGCCTTGTGGCAGCCTTGTGTTTGGCTCTGAGGCTGTACTTGGGCTGTGCATTGTGTCCTAAGCACAATCCAGCTGCTCCCTGTCACAGCCAGCTGCTCCAGGCCTGAGAGGGCCCCTGGGAGGTTCCCACACCCAGCCAGGGGGGAGGCTTTCCATTCTCCTCTCAGGTGGGGACAATTTGGTAATGAGGGTAGCATCCAGGTTCAGGTGCAGGCCGGCTCAGCCCCAGCCCCAGGGTGGTGCTGCATCCTCACCCACACTTCTCACTGGGCCCTGGGACAAGCAGGTAAAACCGATAGGGTCCACGCCCCCTGCAGGGCCCCTGAGCCCCCTCACAGACCCTGCTGAGCACACCCAGTGCCTCTGTAGCCCAGGCTGGCGCCTGCTGCTCCTCCCACACTCATCCCACGCYGTCCTCACCTCCCCAGCGGCTCAGCGATCCCCTCTGCCCAGCTCCCTGGACACCTTCACTAGCTCCCAGGTGCTGCTGGAAGCCCACTTGCAGCACAGGTGCAGGCTGGACATCAGCAGGGGCCTGTTCGCAGAGCTCTGGGGGCCGACTGGCCCTGGCTAGGAGTCCCCACACCACAGGTGTTCSGTGTTCCCAGCGGCAGCGGCAGGCCTGGTCCAGCGACCACACCCCCAGGGGACAGGTGGAGCCGGTCGGTCTGTGTGAGGGTGGGAATGCCTGCTTCCCAGTGGCCCTTCAGGAGCAGGCAGTGCACCCGACCCTGGTCCGTGACTCACTGCTCCATCTCAGCTCAGGTCCGCCCTCCCACCCACCTCGGTGCTCTGCAGCACTGTCCCTGGGTTCGTCCCCAGGGCCCCCGCGGGCCTGTGTCCTGATGCCGGCTCTGCCCTTGCAGGAGCCTTCATGATCCCGTTCCTCATCCTGCTGGTGGTGGAGGGCATGCCCCTGCTCTACCTGGAGTTCGCCATCGGCCAGCGGCTGCGGAARGGCAGTGTGGGCGTGTGGAGCTCCATCCACCCGGCCCTCAAGGGCGTAGGTGCGTGTCTGGTGTGGCCCCTCCTGGGCCAGGGACTGGAGCCTGGCCCTCCAAGTGTCCCCAGGCGGAGAGGGATCCCAGGGTCACCCCTCTCAGAGGCCTTCAGAAACCCTCTGCTGGAGCCTCCAGGAGTGTAGATGGCAGGGTCAGGGCTGGACGCTCCTGGTCCCCAGGAGGTTCTAGACTCAGAGGACAGCAGAATGACCCCTGCCTGCCCAGAGTAGGCCAGCAGAGGGCACTAGCTGCCTGCTCTCGGCCTACTTCCACAGACTCAGCCAGGAGTCCCCCAGCACTGACCCCAGCCCCAGGTGTGGTCACTCATTTACAAACTCTGACCCAGGGGTGGCCCCAGCGTGTTCTCACCAAGAGGTCCACAGTTCACTGGGACCTCAGGACACGGGTAGGCACCAAAAAATTGTTGAGCTTGGAGAGAAAGGGTCAGGGTCCACTAGGAAAGGGACTCTGAGTCCAGGTGGGGCCTGCCCTGAGGCCTGAGGCCCAGGCAGCACCACTACCCACACCCTGCCCTGGAATCCAGAGCTCCTTCCCCCAGCCCTGGCCTCTCCCAGCCCTCCTGTCCCCGTCCCTCCCCCATCCCTCCCATCCCCATCTGTCCCCCGTCCCTCCCCGGTCCCCGTCGGTCCCCCATCCCTCTCACACACACATGACACCCTTGTGGTCCTGCCCCATGGTCCCGGGCACTGGACACTCCCCCAGGAGCTCCACAGACAGCCTTCCCCGCCCGCCTGCCCCTGGTGTGGGTGGGCCTGGGGGACTGCTCCGGCCCCTCCGCTGGCGAGTGCCCTGTCGGGAGGCCCTCGMAGGGGCAGCTGCCCCCGGCCTCAGCCGCCCCTTCCTGCAGGCATCGCCTCCATGTTTGTGTCCTTCATGGTGGGTCTGTACTACAACACCATCATCGCCCTGGTCATGTGGTACTTCTTCAACTCCTTCCAGGAGCCCCTGCCGTGGAGCCAGTGCCCGCTCAACGGCAACCACACAGGTGAGGCTGGCCCGAGCCAGCGCCCCCCCACCTGGCCCCTGGGAGTGACGGGAGTCCTAGAAGGTGCAGGGCCACGCTCCGTGCCTGGCCACCCGGGTGCCACCGACCTGGTTGTTGAAAGAGCGCCTTGGAGCCACAGGTCACTTAGAGACCAGAGCCTTCAGGGCCCCACGGACAGAGATCTGGGAACTGCTGGGTCTCCAGGCTCCAGGCAGGGCCTGGCGGGATGTCCAGAGGACCAGCTCCCTCACACCTGGGGCCCCGCATGTCTCCACCACGGGTGCCTGTGCGTGTCCCCAACCCTCGGGGGCCTGCAGGTGGGAAAGGCTCAGGTCCCTCCCACGGCACCCCCCCCYCCCCGCTGCTCTGTGAGCCCTGAGAGCAGGGCAGTCATGGGTGTGGACCTGGCCAGGGCATCCAAGACCCCAACCTCCTGCCAGCTGAGCGTGTGCCCCCAGGAGCTGGGGCAGCAAGCAGCAGCACAGGCCACAGTCAGGCGCGTGTCCCCAACACGCTCACGCCTCCGGGCACATGTGGGGCCTTGGTGGCCCTTCTCCCACGCGTCTCCCCCTGGTGGCCCAGCCCTGAGGTGTGCACCTGGCTTGCCCTGGCAGGCTACGTGGAGGAGTGTGCCAAGAGCTCCTCCGTGGACTACTTCTGGTACCGAGAGACCCTCAACATCTCCACCTCCATCAGCGACTCGGGCTCCATCCAGTGGTGGATCCTGCTCTCCCTGACCTGTGCCTGGAGCGTGCTGTACGTGTGCACCATCCGTGGCATCGAGACCACCGGGAAGGTAGGGGTGTGTCCAGGCCCACACCTGAGCCACTGACCACCTCACCTGGTCCCCATGACCTCTCAGGAGCCTCTGCCCCAGGTCTGCCACACGGGCTGGCCAAGATGCTCTCAAGACAGGCTCTGGAATCGTCCCACGCAGGCTGAGGCACGGCCCAGCGTGGAGCTGGCCCAGCATCATGAGGCCCAGGGCCCAGCCCCGCCCTGCGCTCTGCACACAGCGTCATCCCGTCTCCCCGGGTGGAAGCGTTAAGTGACACCAGGCCTAGCGGAAGACGGAGAGGGGCCACCGTGTGCCCTCTGCCCTCGTCCCAGCCTGACCCGTGTGCCTTCTGCCCATGCAGGCTGTCTACATCACCTCCACGCTGCCCTACATTGTACTGACCATCTTCCTCATCCGCGGCCTGACGCTGAAGGGTGCCACCAACGGCATCGTCTTCCTGTTCACGCCCAACGTGAGTTCCTGCTGTCCACCCTCTCCAGATCCTCCGGGGGGGTCCATGCTGGGTTAGGCCCTCCCCGACTCTGTGTCCTCCTGGCCTTAAGACCAGCTCCCAGGCTGCTGGCCAGCTGCAACCTGCCAGTCCCAAGTCTAGGAGGGTCAACGAGGGCCCAGTGGGAGTCCTGTCTGCAGGCCCTCCTGCGGCTGTGCAGGGTGGGGGCACTGGTGAGCTGGAGGTTGCCCCTCTGTGTGGAATAGTGGCCCCACTCAGGGGAGGAACCAGCTGCTCCCTGTAGTGGACAGCGTCCATCCTGACCACCAGTCACCACCAGCCCAGGCGGCCTCCCTCCCTGACCCACCACCGAGGCTCAGGTCTCCTCCCCGGCCACCCTCCTTTGTTCTGGGCCTGGCGGGTGAGCCGCGGTCTCTGTCGGAGCAGGTCACGGAGCTGGCCAACCCCACCACCTGGCTGGACGCGGGCGCCCAGGTGTTCTACTCCTTCTCGCTGGCCTTCGGAGGCCTCATCTCCTTCTCCAGCTACAACTCTGTGCAGTGAGTGTGGGGCAGGCGGGTTCCGCAGAGCCGGGCACTGAGGGCCTGGGCCTGTTCCTGCTGACCAAGTGCAGTTCTGTGGTGAGCACCAGAGGGGAGAACAGAGCTGCTTGGCAAAGCCCGGCCCCTTCACAGCCCACTGGCTGGGCACCTGGAAGGGAACGCCCGGGGTGTTCCTCGAGCCGGGCCCCAACGAGCTCCGCTGCTTGGGCTCTGTGTGCTCCCTCTCCTCGGTCCCCCCTCCACACCCACGCGGTCCCTGCTCACTCCTTGGCACCCCAGACCTGGCGGGGTCCTGCAGGCAGAGCCTCCCTGAGAGCCTAGGAGAACACAGGGGGCGCTGTGGAGCACCTACCAGGGATGGCCCCAGTGATCCTCACTGGGTGGGGAGACAAGCACCTACTGTGTGTCAGAGCCATCCTCAGTGAACTGTGGTGGGTGAGTGGGACAAGTACCTACTGTGCATCGGGGTCATCCTTGCTGACCTGTGGGTGGGGGGACAAGCACCTACTGTGTGACAGGGCCGTCTCAGTGACCCACAGTGGATGGGGGGACAAGCACCTACTGTGTGACAGGGCCGTCTCAGTGACCCACAGTGGATGGGGGGACAAGCACCTACTGTGTGACAGGGCCGTCTCAGTGACCCACAGTGGATGGGGGGACAAGCACCTACTGTGTGACAGGGCCGTCTCAGTGACTCATGGTGGGTGGGGAACAAGCACCTACTGTGCATTAGGGCCATCTCAGTGACTCATGGTGGGTGGGGGGGACAAGCACCTACTGTGTGACAGGGCCATCCTGGGTGAAGCCTGGTGGGCCAGGGTTGAGCCAAGCGACCAGCAAATGTGTCTGTGGTGATGAGCAGAGGTGGGGGCGGGAAGGAGGCAGCAGGGGCAGGGCAGGACGGCCTTCTGTGGGCAGGTGGACCTGCAGGCTTGGCCAGGCAGCCGAGGTTGAACAGAGGTGGCACAGAGGCCAGGCAGGCAGGGGTGCCTCTGGGAAGGAGGGACTGACAGGAGGGCATGGTGACCGGGGAGGCAGGGCTGGTAGGCGGCCAGGGTCAGCACGGACAGAGGGCCTCCGGGCACTCAGGAGGGGCACCAGGTACCAGCCATGGAGCAGGTAGGGTGGGCAGTGTTGCCCTGAGCTCGACCCAAGACTCTGTACAGACCCGCGTGGGCCGGGTCCCGGGCTTCAGAAAGCCCCCTCTGGAGCCGTGGGGAGGGGTGGAAGGGGACACAGGCCCGCCGCAGCAGAGCCAGCGGAGCTCCCCCGGCTTCAGACACGTCACCTCCACGCAGTTCACGCCGGTGCCCAGCTCAGCGCTGAGGACACCACAGCGGGCAGCGGCCCCTCCAGGGCCAGACACCCTCAACTCACCATAGATACCCGACCCCCGAGCGGTCACTCCCAAGTCCCTGGGGCCAGCCCTGGTGGCTTTCAGCTGTGCTGCTCGGGCTGCATGGAGCTCCCTGTGAAGCAGGCACCCGCTTCCTTCCTGGCATGGCGGACTGGGTGGAGGTGGACAGGGCACAGCCTGCCTGTCCACTTGTTAGCCGGGACACCGGGCTGTTTCCACTTCTTGGCTGCTGTGAGCACCAGCACACAGGTGTGGACCCTGAGGGGCGGCACTGCTGGGCAGGGCTCTGCCTGTCGCCTGGCCACTGCCAGCTCTGAGCTCAGCCAGACGTGCAGGCGCCTAGGCCCCTGAGTTCCTCTGCGCAGGGCCATCCCAGCGGCGCGGGGCGGTGCCCACTGTGGACACAGCTGCAGCCCTGATGGCTCACATGCTGCCTGGGGGTCCTGGGACTGGGGGCTGGACTGGCCCACGTGGGCCCAGCAGGCGCTCCGCCTCTGGTCTCCACAGCCCTTTCTACTTTATGACTGGGTTATTGCTGTCACCTTGGTACTGGGGTTGGACGCAGGGTGATCACCCACTGAGCTACGCCACCAGCCCTTTTTATTTAGTTTGAAAGGCCCCTCTAAGTGGCCCGGGTTGACCTTGAACTCTCCGTCCTCTTGCCTCAGGATCTGRGAGTGGCCACCACACCCAGCTCACTCTGCCTCTGACAGAAGCATCTGGAGGGAGGGGAGCTGGTGCCGTCTGCTGGGACAGTCATTGTGGAGGCTCGGCCGGAGGCTGAGTGAGGTCAGGGAGGAAGTTCGCAGCCCTGAGGGGCCCTGAGCTGAGGCTGCAGGTGGCCACACCTCCCACTCCTCTGGGGCCAGGACTACACAGCTCTGTGGCCCTCCAGCCACCTGGGCAGCACGAACCCTGCAGACCCTCCACAGACTAGACTCCACGGGGAACCCCTGCTGGGACCGCCCCAGCTGCACCCTGGGTGACATCCATCATGTCARGAGGCCCAGGGCTCAGAGGACAAGTCCCAGACAGCGCCTTCCAGCTCCTCCTTCCCCCCTGGGAGGGGGTCCACCCAGCTCTGGGTCCACCCAGTCCTGKGGTCCACCCAGTCCTGGCATCTGGGAAGTGAATCCCTCTCAAAATTCCAAATAAGAACCTACAACCCAAACCAAGCCACCCATCCCACTAGGTCTGGGGCAAGGAGGGTGTGGGCAGGGAGGCCCTGGCCTGCCATTTCCAGAGGCTGTGGGCCTTGCCTGCTGGGGTGGAGGCCCAGGGCCTGCCCTTACTCTGAGCCAACTGTCCCCTGCCTGAGCTGGGCTGGGCTTGGAGCACAGAGATCTCTGGGCCCGGCGGTGAGGGCTTGTSCAGGTGTCCCCAGGCTGTGGGGGGTCCAGAGCCACCCGTGGGGGAAGGTGTGTGGCCTCCTAACGTGGTAAGAAGGTCAAGAGTGAGGTCCACCAGCCATGTGCTTGGGGCTGAGACCCAGCCCTTGGGCCACTCTTGAGTCTGAAATGCCCACTCACCAGAGGACAGTGGGCTCAGCTGCTCCCGACGCAGGGCAGGGCGCAGCCCCAGGACTGGACATGGTGGGGCCTCCTCACTGCCCGACTCTGGKCGGGCGCATCCTCGCCCACACACCAGCCATGCCGGGCCTGCAGCACCACTCTCGTCCACAGCAACAACTGTGAGATGGACTCTGTGATCGTGTCCATCATCAACGGCTTCACGTCCGTGTACGCGGCCACCGTGGTCTACTCCATCATCGGCTTCCGTGCCACCGAGCGCTATGACGACTGCTTCAGCACGTGAGTGCGTCCCCACCACCGCCCACGCTCCCACAGGGCCCCGCGGGCCCCTCCAGGGCTGTGTCCCCCCTTCCACCCACGCCCCCCCGGGGGCCATCGGGGCAGGCATCAGCCCCCTCCCCTCTCTCCTGCAGGAACATCCTGACCCTCGTCAACGGGTTCGACCTGCCCGAGGGCAACGTGACCCAGGAGAACTTCGCAGACATGCAGCGCTGGTGCAATGCCACGGACCCCGTCGCCTACGCGCAGCTGAGCTTCCAGAACTGCGACATGAACTCCTTCCTCTCCGAGGTGGGTCCTGGGGGCTCCACGCGGTTCAGAGCCCCTCCGGGCACGCGGAGCCCACTCTGCGCCAGCCCCGGCCCCTGACCTTGAACACCTAGGGCTCCCTGCAGACTCCTTCTGTAAAGATGGAGAGTTACCAGGCGGCCAGCACCACACTTCTGTCTGGTGGACCCTCAGCCGTCAGGAAGCCGGGGAAACCTTAGTAATGGAGCTGGTGAACCACACTTGAACACCTAGGGAAATCTACTGCTCTCCATCTGGTGGCCCAAGGTGACTGCGTCTGACCTTGCAGTTTTCCAGGTGGAAGCCAGCCTGTGCTTTGGAGGAGCAGGTCATTTTCAGGGCCTGGCCCTGTAGCTATTGCTGTGGCCACTGGTTAAAAGGTCACATTGGGAGCAGGAGTCACAGAGCTCGCGGCTAGCTAGGGCAGAGGCTCCTGAGGCTCACTGGTGTCCCACGGACTTCCAGAGGGTGGCTCCTGGTGGAGCCAAGGTTTCTCTCCTGATGCCCCTGCCCGGAAGCCGGCCTCCGGGACGGTGGCATGGCCTCGGCGCACACCCGCAGGGCCCAGTGTGCCTGGCCTGCTGACCTCACAGCACTGTCAGGGTGTGTGCCTGTGACCCGCTCACGGGCCTGTTTGCAGCCCTCTGAGCCCAGCACAGGGAGAGCCCCCTGCAGACGCCCCTCGTGGCCATGACTGTCATCCTGGCCACATGGGGTTCTGACCGCTGCTGGGAGGTAGGACCCGCCCACCGGTCCTAACRCATAGTTGAGCTTCTTAAAAAGCGAGTTGGGCCCAGAGGACAGATGGACCCATTTCACCAGATGACCCCGAGTGCCCAGCCCTTTCTGGGTGTGGGCCTGGGGAACAGAGGTCACCAGATGCCTGGTGTGGCCTGTGACCATGTGCCGCTGTGCAGGGTGTGGAGGGCACGGGCCTGGCCTTCATCGTCTTCACCGAGGCCATCACCAGGATGCCAGTGTCCCCGCTGTGGTCGGTGCTCTTCTTCCTCATGCTCTTCTGCCTGGGCCTCTCCTCCATGTTCGGGAACATGGAGGGTGTGGTGGTGCCCCTGCAGGATCTCAGGCTTATCCCCAAAAAGTGGCCCAAGGAGCTGCTCACAGGTGTGTGGGCACCCAGGGGGTGGCGCCCTCAGGGGAGACCCTCCTCGGTGGGTCCTGCCCCGTGACCACKGCTCTGCGCCCACCGGCCCACAGGCGTCATCTGCTTGGGCATGTACCTCATCGCCTTCGTCTTCACGCTGAACTCCGGCCAGTACTGGCTGTCCCTGATGGACAGCTACGCCGGCTCCATTCCCCTGCTGATCATCGCCTTCTGTGAGATGTTTGCTGTTGTCTATGTGTACGGCGTGGACAGGTAGGCCGGAGGTGGTGCACCGGGGACAGCCGCGTCTAACAGATGAGCTCAGTCCAGGAGAGCTCCTGCCGGGCTCAGGGGAGACGGGGTGCCGTGGCTCAGGCCTCTGCTGCCGTGTGGCCCGAGTGTCGATGGCCTTCAGGGGAGCAGGCCTCACCTGGTCCTGGCCTTGCTGCATGGACCGAGAGAGGCAGGAGCATGGGGCTGAGCCTGGCGGAGGTAGCACCTTGGTTCCCATTTGGAAGCAGTCCAAGCCCTCCAGCTCCCGATGACACTGGACGTCACTGTGCAAACAGGGCTGAGCAGCAGTGCGGGACCCATGTGTGGTGACAGTGTGGGAGAGAAAACGCAGCAGCAGCCACCAGGAATCGCAGCTCAGCCTGGGTACACTGCATGAGCAAGACCCTCCGTKGGGGACCCTGAAATAGCCCCTGGGGCTCCAGGGCAGGCACAAAATCACAGGATGGGGCCCATCTGAGAGCAGTAGGAGCTTCCTGCTCAGTCAGGCCTGGCCCTCAGCCGTGTCCTGGGCAGGGAGCTGGAGCTGCACACCACTCCCTGTCCACGGCCAGGGACGCTCCTGGAGTGGGAGAGCAGCACTCCAGCCTTGCAGGCAGGGCGGGCAGGCAGGCAGCCCCCTGGACCCACAGGCCCGTGGCTGCACACCGGCCCTGCCTCTCTTCATCATCCCCCACTGCTGCACAGGACTGCGGGAGGCAGGGCCCTGTGGGCRGCCAAGTTCAGCAAGTGCCACCCTCTGCTGGGGCTCCTGCTTTGGGAGACCTGTTCTGAATCATGACACACAGCAGTCCACAGGGTACCTGGACAGGGCTTCGTCAGCCTGTGTGGGGACCAGGCTGCAGCAGCCCAGGGCAGCAGGGCCAGGCTGAGGAAGACCAGGTGGCCACAGGGGATTTCAAAGTCACAAGGGTGTTTTAAGCAGAACCTGTGGAATTAGCCACAGGCCCCAGCTTGGTGGCTGTGAAGGACATGCAGACTGATCTCTGCTGCCTCCAGGTCTGTGGATGGTAGGAGAGGCAGGTGCCAGGTGGACGGGCTGCAGGGCTGGGCTTCCAAAGGCCCCCAGCGCGCCCGAGACCAAGTCTCAGAGACCCCAGGCAGGCTCACGCCTACGTTCCGCCTGTCCATCCTGATTTCTAAGGACAGTAAACCCTTTGTGCAGAAAGCTGGGCATAGGACAGTTTCAAGCCCTAGGGCAGGTCATGATGGGCACTGTCCAGCCTCAGAGCTGACCCTGTACATGTGTCAGGAGGAGCGGAGGGGACAAGTCTCACGGCTGCCTCTGCTCTGCTCCCCTGGAGCTCTGGCCCTCCCTGCTCTGCTCCCCTGTAGCACTGGCCCTCTGTGGTCACCAGCACGTGGCGAGGACAGGAACCTCTGACAGCCAGCCTGCCTCAGAGCTGGTGATGGCATCCCAGGCAGTGAGGCCTCTGGGCACACGGGCTGGCAGGTGGCTCCGCTGGCCAGAGTCTCCTCTGACAAGAGGCAGAGCTTTGCCTGCACACGGGGTGGAGCTTTGCTGAGGGATGCCAGGGCGTGGCCTCCAGGACATGCCACGTCCAGGTAGCAGGACTGGACAGCCTTGGGCCTYGATAAGCTGCATCCTGGTGGACTCATGGAGGTCACCCCTCCTGTCCTGCTGCAGGTTCAACCRGGACATCGAGTTCATGATTGGCCACAAGCCCAACATCTTCTGGCAGCTCATGTGGAGAGTGGTCAGCCCCATAATCATGTTGGTCATCTTCCTCTTCTACTTCGTGATCCAGGTCAACAAAGAGCTCACGTACAACGTCTGGGACCCTAGCTACGTGAGTGCCCAGCCGGCAACGGGGCAGCTGCCAAGTTCCCCATGGGCAGGGGGAGGCAGTGCTGGAGGAAGGCGGGCGTCCCCCTGCCCCCGAGCAGCAGGCRAGCACTGTGGGGTCAGAGTGCCTTTGCCTTCTGGGTTGCTCASTCTGTGTGGCCCTCTTGCAGGACAAGTTTCCCCAGTCCCAGAAGGTGGCCTACCCAGGCTGGGTGTACGCCGTGGTGACCATTGTGGCTGGGGTGCCGTGCCTCACCATTCCCTGCATCGCCTTCTACAAGATCATCAGAAACCATTGGCGGAGGCCAGGTGACCAGCAAGGGCTGGTCAGCACACTGTCCACAGCCTCTGTGAACGGAGAACTCAAGTCCTGAGTGGGCCCAGCCCATAGTCTGCAGCCGAYAGTGTCGGGAGGAAAGGAGCCACAGGACCTTGAGGTGGCAGGGCTGCAGTGTGCGTGTGCATGAATGCATGGGTGTGTACATACGTGTTGTCCAGGTGTGTTCATGCATACATGCAGAGGTACACACATGTACAGGTGCAAAGTGTGTGGTGTGTATGTTAGAATGCATATAAACACGTATGTGTCTGAGTGTGTAAGTATATGTGTGAATATGTGTGTGTTGTGCATGTATATATACCCAAGCGCATGTTTGTGTTTTCACACATGGTAGTGTATGCATGCCTGTATGTGTGCATAAGCACTCGTTTTACACACGTGTAAATGTTTATGTGTGAGCATATGTGTGTGTGCATGAAGGTGTGTATATGTCTGTGGATATAAGTTGTGCACACACATGCAGGTGAACATGAACATTGTGTGTGCAGATATGTGTGCACATGCATATGCAGGTGTGTGTGTTTGGGTGTAAAATGTGTCTGTATGGTGTGGGTTACGTATATATGRGTGTATGTGGGCCTGTGTATTGTGCACACAGATATTTGTACATATGCACCTAAGTGTACGTGAATTGTATACACCTGTACCCAACTCACAAGTGTGTGCCTGTGCCTATTCCTGTATGTATACATGTGCTTATTGCACATATGTGTGAAAATGTATGTGTTTACATGTTCCTGACACGTGCCCCTTCTCAGGCCTGGCCACCTTATGCACTGTCTCTCATGTGGACATGGTGGTGGGGCATGGACTGTGGCCTGGGGCAGACCTGGCTCAGGACTTGCCTGACCTGCACTGCCCTGTGGAGAGTCCAAGGCCCAGGCGTGGGAGGCCGAGTTGCTATGCTCCCTCTGTCGCGAGGCGGGAGACACAGCGCGAGCCGCCGGAATTGTCCCCACTGCCCACCCCACACTGCTGGCTGCCCTGGACCAACGGCCCCTGAGTGAAAGGTGTGGGCCCTTTTGCTCTTCAAGGAGAAGTGTGAGGGGGCGTGGGTAGGCGAGGCTGCGGGCCTGGCCGGGGTCAGCCCAGCAGTGCGTGGGCTGGGGGACTGACCGTTTAATGATTGCTGCTGGCTGCACAGCTCGATGGGCAGCTCAGCGGAGCTCAGCCTGGCCTAACCGCAGCAGGAGCCACCTTGCGTGTTCTTAAGGGACGTTAACCCCGTGAATTTTTAGCCAGACGCTGGAGGAGAAAGGTCAAAGGGTAACTTGGCCTGAGCACTGTGGTTGAGGGCACCCTGAGAGTCCTGGGCACTTTGTCCACCCTATGTCGCTCAGGGAGCCCGGGGTCGGCGCCTGCGTTTGCCCAGTGGTGGGGTGTCATCCTGGACCTCTCCCCCATCTCAGCCGGAGGCACTTCCCACTTTGGATGTTTGCTTCAGCAAGCTGGTTGCCTCCGCTTTCCATGGAAAAAACTTCCTGAGGATTCTCTCGGCCAGTGTGGGAGGTCCTGGGGGGCCTGGCACCATGTTCCTCCGGCTCAGAGACGCTCCACGTCACTCCCCACCAGACTCCAGCTCCAGCCACGAGACCCTCCACACCCAAGTCCTCTTACCAGGAACTCTCCATCATCCAGCTGGCCACCTGGGACTGTGATCTGCAGAAATGTACCAAATCAGGGGGACCCAGGGGCCCAGGCTCTGCCCCAGGCCTGGTGACATGCCCCGGAGGCTCAGCCCAAGAAGATGGAGGGTCCCATCTGGTCCCCTCTCCCCACAAGCTCCGACTGGGACGCCGTTGATGGACCCACGCCCACCAGTGCACTGCCCACGGTGTCCTGGAGGCCCCGTGGGTCTCGGACGTCCGTGGTGTCTCCTGGGCAGCTCTCTGATGGCTTCTGGGTGGGGTTGTGGAATAAAGCGGCCTGTTTAATGCCCCTGGCTCAAGAGCTGCTGTCAGACACGGAGGCTGGGGCTGGGCTGTGGCCAAGGCCGACGGGGGTCACAGCACTTGGAGGTGCAGCTAGCGAGTCTGGCCACCTCTGGGCCCAGGGGGTGGTTCGCGGCTCATTCTGAAAGAAGCCTCTCCGCTGTGGCCCCTGGAGTGCGGGACCTGGTAGCCCCGTGGGCTGGACAGACACTGGTCTGGGGACCCCTTGCTGCCCCGGGAGGGCTGGTGGGGCTTGGCCAGGACATGCAGGGTGCAGGAGCGGGGAGGCAGGAGGCAGGGAATCTTCCGAGGARCACCAGGGAGAAGAGGACCACAGGAGGTGCCCCCGGGCCAGCTGCAGAGTCCCGGTCATGCTGGGCAGAACAGCTGGCCCCAGGCTCTGCAGGTGCCACTCACAGAGCTTCCTAGGTGAGGAAGCAATGCCAGGACAGGGGCCGCAAGAGCCGAGCATGGGCACGTGGTGACAATGGTGGCATGTGGCCCTCCCAGACCCCAGGCGCCACGTCCTTGCCCGTGGCAAGCTCTGGAGAAGTGACGTGCAGGAAGCAGAGCTGTGCAGGGTCCTCAGTGTGCCTTCTCACCCACTGAGTCGACACCTACCTCAAAAGCACAGCCACAGTCACATGGTGAATCGTTTCCAAAGACCAAGTGTGCCCTGCCGTGGGAGTCCTGCAGTCCCCGGAGCAGAGGCCACTACGCTGGCAGCAGGCCAAGCCATTCATGGGGCTGGGGGATGCGGGCCATGGGGACAGGCYGGCAGAGTCACCAGGAACCAGCCCAAGTTACCAATTAACTGGGCTCCTTGAAATACATGGGCCCACGTCCCCGAGGAGGGACGATTCCATCTCCAAGTTCCAGCTGAGCTCCAGCCAGCTGTGCCYGGGCTGGTGTCCAGTGAGGCACCCACTCTGCACCTGCACCCTGGGAGACTGGCAGCATGGCCCAGGCCCCAAGCCCAGGTCCGCTGGTAGACAGCTGTGAGGACGAGAGGCCCCRCTGGGACAGCAAGTTCCAGTACCTCTTGAGCTGCATCGGGTTTGCCGTGGGGCTGGGTAACATATGGAGGTTCCCGTAYCTGTGCCAGACCCACGGGGGAGGTAAGCCTGTGGGACCCGAGATGCACCCCAGGGGGGGGGGGACGGTCTACCTCCCACTGGCGTGGGGTCTCTGTCACTTGGCCCCAGTCTGAGGGTGGGAGCTGGCCTTCCTGGAATTGCCAACCCACCATCAGCCCAGGAAGTGCCCAGGCCTCTGAGTCCCCGCACAGGGTGCCGGAGCCCGAGGACCTCGGCAGAGTCAGGGCGCAGTGCTGGCAGGGTGACGCCACTTCTCAGTCTCGAACAYGCCGGTTCTCGACAGAGCTAGAACCCCTGGTCCTGTCAACCCATGTCYAGGTGGCCCCAGGCTGATTCCGTCCCAGGAACACTTTGCCAAGGAGCCACCCCAGACAGTGGCTCCCCTGAGAGCCGGGGGGTGGAGGGGCGTGCAGCTGACCAGGCCTGACAGTGTTAGTCCCTTGGCCATCAGAGCCACACCTCAGAAGCCTGTCAGTCAGACAGCTGAGCCTCCTGGCCATCACCTGCTCTCTTCATGTGGCCACAGAGGTGCAGCAGCMACACAGCCCTACGCAGTGGGGCACTGCTGACCTTGGCAGCTGACCTGGGGGGTGGCCGACGTCCCCAGCTGGGACRCCGGCCCACTTTCCCTCAGGGCTCCGGCAGCCACTGCAGGACCCGCCGTCTCCAGGGGCCGAGGATGGTCTCCCGCTGCCTCGCGCTCCTGGCTTTTCCAGGTGGAATGCAGGAGATCTCCCTTAGGGTCCACGGCCCGAGGCCGGTGCCCAGGCGCGGCAGGGATGAGAGCGTGTGGCCCTGGTGTCTCTGGCTGGAGGCAGACCAGTGCCCTCCTGGCTGCCAGGTGGACAGCCACGYTGAGGTGCGGAGGGTCTTGGGGCTGGCTCTGGCCTTGCCCTAGGAGCCACCCTTTAAAGCTCACSGTCTGACTGTTAAAGGAGCACACTGGCCAGAGCGTTTTGAAAATGCAGACCAGCAGAGGAAGGAGAAGGGTCAGGACTGCCCAGGGCACTGGTCCCATGGGGTCTGCTGGGACCGCACACTGGCCCTGTACCTCCTCCCATGGAAGAGGCCCCAGGGAGGCTTCTGGGAAGCCCAGGCCTCTGCTGCCCCTCTCTGTGCCGTACGCCCTAGACACACCCATGGCTCCAGTGGCTCCRGGAGCTTCAGGAACTTGCCTTCCTGAGCCGCGGAGCCCCAGGTGGCCCTGCCTGGGCACCTGGGTGCACTCGTGGGCAAGAGGGGAATTCTCCACCGTTGAAGGTTTCCCCAGCATCAGCTTCTGGAYGTGCCATCGCTTGGCAAGGTGTCACGAGAGGCCTGTGTCATGAGAGGGCCGTGTCCCTGTGACTTGGATCCCCACGGGTGCTTCACCATGTGGGACAACACCCCTTTCTTGGTCTCCTTTGAAAACAAGTCACRGTGACAAGGAGACAGGTGGTGTTCCACCCACACAGACTCATTACTACCACCGTGAGTATCGACCTCTCTCCCTTCACACCCACTCAGCTTCAGAGAGCTCCTCTTCAAAGGCAGGACTGAACGCAGCACTGTACCAGAGCAGGGCAAAGGCCCTGGGGAGAGTTACAGCGACCCCATCACATGGGCCCTTCATGGCCAGCTGCTTCATCATGTCCTTGCACATCAAGTCACAGGTGCGTCCGACGCCCAGGGAGCCACTTGGCACCTGTCAGGGACTGAGGTTCCCACCAGGGAGCTAGCAGGACGGTGTGGACTGGGCTGGCTGCTCCAGCCCCATGCAGTGGGATCTGGAGGAAGCTGTCCGTCACCCCGGTGCATGGCATGTTTGTCCTTCATGGACCTGACTCTGGACCTACGGACCCCTGGAGAATCATGAAGTCTTGCACCCCAAATCACTCTGGTTCAATCACTGTGGTTCACACACATGTGCCCTGGCGCTGGCAGCGCCAGCCCTGTACCTCCCTCTACACTGACTGGCTACGAGCCTTGCATATGAGCTTTGCAGCTGGGTTGTCAGTTTCCCCGAA